TTATTACACTATCTGTATTTAGACAAATTAACGATATTTATATTTGATGAATCCAAAAGTAGATTTTAGTATCCTGAACAAAACATTTTGGATGTTGGCAAAAAAGTTTCAAACTATGGGCATGGCTGTGCAGTAAGCTGCAGTACCAGCAGAGGGAGAGATTTTATTTCAATCAATATTATATTTCAAGTCAAGCAGCCTTCCTTTTTGAAGTTTTATCATTATGTTGGTACAACAGCTGTTGCTGGGAATTTCTTCAAATTTGGCTTTAACGGTCAATTTGATGTCCAGTGGGCAGTGTCACTGTGATCTGTTCCATTCTTTGTCAAGAAAGAAATACAGTCTACGTGAAGCAAATGCACAAATATATTGACATTCATCAGGTTCACATTGCCTTTACAGTGAAACCACAAAATTCAGAGAAGCCTTCTCGCTGGCATGCCCCTGAATGATCCTCTTGGGTGCTGTCATTTGATAGTCAGGTAAATGAAAGCTTTGAATGTCATGTTCTGGTACTGGGTATTTAGTGTCATGTGGGCATTTATGTATTGTTCATCAACATCAAATTTTCCTTTCTCAAGCGAAACTTCCCAGACAACAAAGACAGCAGTAAAACAGGCTGGCCCAATGGTCAAAGGCATCATATATAAACTCACAGGCTCTGTCTGCAAACATACACAGGGGGACATTTCTCTCAGTCAACAGTCAATCAGGTTGATCAACGTGGTAAGGAAGAATTCTCTTCATTATTTTAATTGTTATGACTTTGTTTTGTTATATTATGTAAAAAGGATCAATTTTATTTACTGACAACTGTTTCTTTTCTTTTTTTTCTTAAATTGGCATCTTCATTGTAGGGTTGTTGAAAATTATTTGGGCAAAAAGCATAATTGAAAATGAGAAGTTTTTAATGAATTTCAAAAGTTCTGCAGTTCAACTGGGGAATTTTTAGCATTTTAGCATTAATTATTAGCGATGTTGACTTTTGGTAGTGGAGAGTTTTGAAGAACATATGATAATTAAAACAAACAATGATTCCTCCACAGAAAGTGCTGACATGAAGCTTGGGTTGCTTGTCATGGTAGCTGTGGCAGTTGTGCTGCCCAGCTTTTCTGAGAGCAGGATTGTCTCCAAATGTGAGCTCAAAGACAAGCTCGGGAAAATGATCAATCTGCCCAGAAAATCAAAGGAAAAAATCTTGGCAATAGGTGAGCTTAAATGCATTTGTTGTGTTCAACTTTTATGACCTCCAAACACACATCCCTTGGGCACTAATTAAAATCAGTGGTAAAGCTGAAATGTCCAAAAGTATAATTCTGATGTATTGAAGTTCACTGCTATTTTATGATTCTTCTCTACCAGAGGAAAATACTAACCCCATTTTAAATATCTGGACTTTAAGTTACTGTTTACTGTGAAATTTGTAGAATTTGCAGAATAAAGTCAGCAAATTAACTCTGATACAATATAAGCAGCATGTAATTTTATACTTACATATACTTTGTTACTTTATTGCTATTACATATTACTTTAGCAACTGCAGCAATAATGTAATTGTATCAATAATCTATTGATATATTATATATATTTAAAAGTATCCATTCGAAGAAAACAAAGTTCAAGTAAGATGATAACTCTCACTATCACCTTTTTTAAATCTACTCCTCCCTTTTTTGTTTGCATTCTGACATCTGCTGATACACCTGGCTTGCTGCAAATGTCTGTGAGCTGAATAGAAAGTCCCATCTGAATGTCAGCCTCATCACAATGTTTGATAAAAAAGCATATCAAAATGCCCATGAAAAGATAATAAAATAAAAATAGATAGACTATGTCAAAGAATGTCTACTTTAAAGAATTGTCTAAAAAACTCCCCCAAAAAACTCCTTGTAAAACATCAACTTAGGGGTATTTTTTTGTCTCCTTTAGTTTACACTTGGCTTCTGTGAAGTAGCACTGCAACACCTGGACTAATTTCTCTATTCATTTGCTGATAAAACTGATGTACAATGTGCTATTTTTGATTGTTTACAGTAGCCACTAAAATAAAACTAAAAGCACACATATTATGGAAGGTAAAAGAGAAAACAGCAACAACAACTCTTACTGTGTATCATATTTTGTTCTTTTTTTGTCTTTCTTCCCTGTTTGGTCTCTTTGTGTACATGACTGATTTGCTGCAGTTATCTGTGACGTGAAACGGAGGTCTGATCTGAACACTGCTTTGGTCACATCATTTGGAAAGTGCACTAACACTACTACTAGACCAACTAGTACTAACTCCACCATCAGCTCAGTGAACACAACCCTTGAGTCAAACAGCACAAGTAGCAGTGAGGAAGACAGCAGTGAGGAGGAGAGCAGGCAAATTAACGGAGGAGTGGAAGACAGCAGTGAGGAGGAAAACTTGACGCCTTTGTCCCTCAGCCTTTACGGGCTCTTCCAGCTGTCTGACAGGAAGTTCTGTGATTCAGGGTATTGCCCATCTGAAAATTTGTGTAATACCTCCTGCACAGGTGAGGTCCTACACCAAAAGCAAACACAGATTTATTAGGTAAGTTTTGATTTTGATTTTGCGTATTAAAAATAGTTTCTTTTTTCTTGCAGCCTTTAACGACGAGGACATAACTGATGATATTGCTTGTGTTATCCAGACTGGATACTGGAAGTAAGTTTCTGGAGAGCAAAACAGACATAGGTCGGATAAATAATCAAACCTTTGAATAAATATGAGATGACTGAGCGATACATCAGCTAACTGATCAATTTAGATATGCGAAACAACAGTTGACAAATGACAGGAAAATCTTATCGACCTTTTGCATCACAGCTTCAGTGCTCAGTGGCCTTCTGTCTTTAGCTTTACTCTGATGTTTGAACATCATTGTTTCAAAATATTTGATCTAATTTGGTGCTTTCATGATGGTGGTGGAGACCACTGTCTGACATTCTGGTTAGGATTTCTGAGGGGGATCAGGATACTTTCTGTGTATGAAGGTACATCAAAGTGAAGATTCCTTCTCATATTTAAGTGTTACATTCAAAAGCTACACATGTGTGCCAGTTTAGCTCCCTGCGTAGAACAGGTGATCATTATGTCATAAGGTTCATGCAGAGGCCTGGGTTTAAATCTGCCACAAGGTCAATTATGGCATGTCTCCCAGCTATCCCTTCTTCTTATCAATGTTCAGAAAGTGTACTTAAAAAGAAATATACATATAAATGGGTGTATGGAATAAAACACTAAGTTAATCCAAAGAAAACTACAACAGAGAAATACAAAAAAAATTGTGTTGCCTAATAACTGTCTTTTGCTCTAATCAAACAGGGAGATTGAGATGACAGCCCCAGAGTCATGTCGTCGCAACTGGAATTGCTTCAAAGAATGTAAATGAATGGCTGTGAGATCACAGTTTATACGTGCAGAATCACAACTATTTATTCTTCAGAACCATCTCCTGTTAGCTGTGATCAAGAAACTGCATGCTCCATTACCTACTGTTACGAAGCACTATTGTCTTTCTTTGGTGGGGGAATCTTTCAATAAATATTACTTTGCAGCATGAATGTATATTCCCATAGTAACACCAAAGCTCACACTCTGCTGCTCTTCTTATCACATAACATTAAGAGCTGTGTGGGAAACAGAACCCACCATAAATGATTCCCATATGAAATTAAAAAAAAACCCCAGAATAATCTAAGATATTTAAAGACCTACTTGTGAGCCTTATTTTTGATCAAATTCTAATACTTGCCCTCAACACAAAAATTAAGGGCTAGGTAGGTTATGATAGCTATTTTCCTTTAATAAATTAAATTTACATTTAAAATCTGTATGTTGTATTTAATTTGGTTGTTTTTATTTAGTTAGTTTTTCAATATGTAGTGTGACAAATATGCAAAAGGGGAAAAAAGAGAAATCAGCTACTGGAGAACAGTTAATGGGGAAATTTGGATACATAAATAGATTGTTTGTAATAAAAACACTTACCTGTAAATGCACTTGAACAGGGGGCAAACAATGTTTTTACAGGGAAGAGGAAATATTTGTACTGTAAACAATTCAGTCATGTGTAACAACATCTATTTAACAGGAAAGAAATATTTATGCTGGAAACAACTGTTTTAAAATCTAAGAGACCATTACATTAATGCTCGACCCCCCCTCCAGCAGATCCAAGTACTTGCATAAGGAAATGATGATGTAATTACTGATGCCAATTGAGCCCAGTGTCACAACCATAAACTGGATCAGATTAAAACATACCATTTGTACTGCCTGTCTTGACTCTACATGGACATCTTCAACTTTCTGCACATCTTTCTTGCTAAAGAATTGTATATTTTTATTTTAATAGTAAAATAAATCTGTACTATATTACCAAACAAAATTTACTATTAGCTGAAAATGACAAGTGGTGGAGGAAATTTTAAACCTTTCTAAGAGAGATAAGATAAACCTTTATTAGTCCCACACTAATAAAAAACATTTTTGGTCATGGCAGAAAGTACAAGTTTAAGAGCAGTAAAAGTTGAGAAAAACACAATGGAATAGGATAAGATAAAATAGAATAACATACTGTATAACATAAAATACATTGAAAATAGCTCAGTATAGACAAAACTGTATTACTGGAAAACTGTGCCTAAAATATTAAATATAAAAATAATAATTCTCCATAAAAATGTTCCCCATCTGCAGTAGATGGATTACTTACTGAATGTGGCCAAACTTGAGCTTGTTTTATATAGTTTATATTCTATTTTATGTCCAGCATTATAATTTATAAATCATATGTTTGTGGCTGTCCTGTAAGTACAACATAAGAATGAAAAAAGGCCCTGGGCTAGACCCAGGACTCTCTGGAGCAATTATATCTCTCAGCTGGACTGGGAACGCCATGTGTTCCTCTGGATAAGCTGGAGGAGCTTCACCTCTTTTTAAAAAAAACATTGAAAGGAACATTCTCTGGCCTGTCTCTCTGATGACGTACATTTTTTTGTAGATAATTTTCAAATTAAGAATAGTGAAGCATTTAAAATTTACAATACAAAATTTTTAGAATGACACCATCACATGAACTTACAGTGCATCGGAAAAGTACTTACATCATTTGATTTGTTCCCCATTTTGTCACGTTACAGCCTTATTCCAAAATGCACTGAATGAATTTTTCACCATTTTATTATTCTACACAGAATCCCTTTTTTGAAAATTCTGACTTAAAGTAACTTAATGTTGTTGTGTTTGTCAGATCAGCTTACATTGATGGTATTTTTTTTATAGAGAAGCTATAGAATAAAAAGACAATTGAGAATAGTATGATATCCATGACACACACCAATATAATGATGGGTGCAGCATACTTGAAGCCTATCCAAGCTGTCCTGAATACAAGAGGTGTGGTACACAAAGGGCAGTACCAGTCTTGTTTAAAAGACATTTCACAATGCACAATAACTTGAGCAATAGATCATGAATAGACCCACTATTTCACTGACTTTCACTTTCTGGAAATATTAAACAGATTAAAATGAAAAAGTAGTTCCTGAGTCACTCTGTGTGGGATGAAATCATATAAAAATTCATTCCTGGAGCAAACAGACCCATTTGTATTGACTTTTTACTGAAAGCATATTGATTTCCTCTCCTGATATTTAGACTGTAGTATTGATATTTTAACTTTTGCCTATTTTACTTTTACTGAATCAGTACTGAGTCCTTATTGGGGTCTGACAAATGCACATCAGTCAGGATTAAATACCAGCACATGGTTCTAATCAATCAACACCTGTACCAAAATATTGTAACCCCTAGAGTGTGTTAAAAATCAGCCCATACATATCAAAATAGCTGACCCCCATATCTATAAAATTATAAAAGGAAATACAAAACTATCTGGGAAAAAGACTAAAGAAGGCAATTCTTAATGAAATCAAAAGAGAATATAATTCAACCATTAAAATCAAGTTTACAGTGTTAACAATGTTTTACTAATCAAAATGTGATGCCATTTAATAAACAGAGATGGGTTGCAACGTGTTACTGTAATCGAATTACTTTTTTCAAGTAACAAGTAAAGGATTACTATTGCAAAAAAGCTTTGGAATTAGTGTGTTACTGCATTACTAAACTGTGATTTTGTTTGTTAGATTGTCTCATGACAATGGCGTACAAACATGTGACATCCATGGCAGCACCAGACGTGTGTAGATCAATGAAGGATAATATGGGGTGTGAGAGAGAGTGCGACCATGCAGCGTTTAAAGCTTGGAAGTACTGACATTAAGTTAAGTTTGATTCTGTAAAAAGTGACAAAAACATTAGCGTCTGCTGTACACACTGCATGGGAAGAAAACTTCTTTCCACAGTGAAAAATTAAACTTCAATCTGAACAAGCACTTAGCACGCTGCCACGAGAACGTGAAATTCATAGAGAAACACTGGGACTGTACTTGAATCTCTTCTTTATTCTTCCAACATTACAAAAAATAATGGCATTCAAGGCTATACGCTAAAAAAGAACTGTAACATTTTACAAAGTGGTTCATCTTTCCCATTTTCCTTTTAGTCACTTTCTTTTCCTTCTCTTTAGTCCCAGCTAATTCCCAACTCTGGGACATTTAAAATTCATCTTATCTTATTATGTACGTCCTATTGGACAACACATTTGTGAAACTGTCCATTCTACATGTTCTAGGACTTACGACAGGGGAAATTTCCTGTGTGTTTGAAGCCAAGTTGTTTTGGTTGGCAGCAACGTTGAATCAGTTTGCCATGGAGTTCAGAAAACAGCTATCTTAAAGAAGCATCACTCTACATTAAACATTAAACAGAATTACGCTAATTCTATGTAGCAATGGGGCGAGGAGGGGGTGACAAAAAAAAACTCACCTTAACCAAACAGACATGAAAAGCATGAATTATTCTGTGTAGCCTTGTGCCAAATATTTAACTTAATTTGACTGCAGTAAAATGGACTTTCAAGTGGTTTGTGTTGTTTTTTACTTTTTCATTTTACTTTTTCATTTCATGCACCCCTGGTTGTAGAATAACCCGCTGTAAGCCTATATAAACATTAAAATAACTTTACATTGTATGCAGAGTGGAGTTAAATCAGTGAGTAAACATTTCTAAGGACACTTAAGCCCCTCTCTTCGTCACACTGTGACTAGATGATTGTTTAGGTGGACACTGACTGACTTAAACGGGTTCTTTTAAAACAAAGATCATTGTTAACGTGTTTAACTTCCTGGAGACTGGTAAAGTCATTCGACGTGTTTCAATGATGATGCAGCAAAACTAACTATGGCAAACTATTTAGATCAGCACTGGATAAATATGAGCAAACTTTACACAAGACAGAAAATATCATCATTGATACATTTATTTCTCTGCATAGATGTTGCTGTGAATTTCTTTAAATATGGTATGAATAGTAACTGACATTTAAGCATGAACTAATCTCATTTTAGTCTCCAGTGATCAATGTCATTGTGATTTCATATCAGTTTGATTCTAAATATTTCAAGGAGAGATGTTCCTTGAAATGCAAATGCACAAATACACAGAGATTAATCAGGGTCACATCTCCAGTACAGTTAAATTGCAAAATTCAAATGAGTAAAGTCCATAGTTTGCCCCGGAATAATCTTTTTGGGTGTTGTCATTTTTTATTCGAGTCCATGACAACGATCGATGCAATGGTCAGGTGCTGGGTGATTTAATGTCATATGGGCTTGGTAAAAGAATATAATCCATGTCCTAACAATGATCACAGCCACCTTTGTGTATTGTGTCACGAACATTAAAAATTTTCCTGTTTCACAAGTGAAACTCCCCAGACAACAAAGACAGCAGTAAAGCAGGCTGGTCCAGTGGTAAAACGCATATATAAACTCACAGGCTGTGTTTGCAAACATTAACAGAGGGAAATTTCTCCGGGTTAACTGTCCATCGGGTAGATCACAGTGGTAAGGAAGATTTTCTTCACTATTTTGATTATCACTTAGTGCTTGTTATATTCGCAAAACAAAAATTACATCCTGTTCCATCACTTGCTCTGTTAGTGGTTTTTAAAAAATTTTTTAACACTGACTTCATTGTAGAGTTAGAAAAAAAATGAATGAGGAGAAATTATTTGACAATAAACTGTGTTGACTCCATCTGCTTTAAAGTCAGGGAGTGTGTGCTCGTTTGAAAACCTTATTTTAAACCAACAGATCCAAACAATCAAAATTAGTTTAAATAAATCTTAAAAGTTCTGCAATTACATTGTGGAAAGCCGAATACAGATTAATAACAAATTCTTGCAAGTTTCATTTATTTGTATGTATCCTTTAACTTATTTTTGACATTTTGTAGAAATGTGAATGAGTGTCATCAAACAAGAAAAAAGCCATGAATCCATATAGATTTTTAGCAATTTGAGAAATTGGGGTACATATACAAATTTTAACAAATATATTTTAAGGTTTTTTTTTTTCATGTTTTCCCACAGAAAGTGCTGACATGAAACTCGGGTTGCTTGTTGTGGTGGCTGTGGCAGTTCTGCTGCCCAGCTTTTCTGAGAGCCGGATCGTCTCCAAATGCGAGCTCAAAGACAAGCTTGGGAAAGTGATACGTCTGCCCAGGACACTCTTGGCTATAAGTAAGTCCAATGACTTAAATCCATGACAAAAGTCTGTACCTTAGTTGTAGACTAGAATACCACTGAGGTATTTAAGCCTAATGCTGTTTTTTGATTATTCTGTATTAGAAGAAAATATTAACTTTTATAAATCTGATAGCTTCAGTTACTGTTTAAATTCAAAGGCAGCATTAAGAGCACAGAGAGAGAGAGAGCCTAGACCAGTTTGTCTATTCATTTATAAATAAATCTGACATCCAATGAAATATATTTTTCACTAATTGGTGCCTCTATATATTTCATGTGGCCCCCATGACTGAAAAAAGTAACCACTAAAGTAAAACTAAAAGCACATACATTTAGAAGGTTGAAAGAAAACAGCAACTCTTACTGGCTATCACCTTTATAATTGCATTTTTTTTTCTCCTTTGTTTGCTTTTACTTCTTTGCATGTGTGACTTGTTTGCCACAGTTGTCTGTGAAGTGGACAGGATCTCTCATCTGAACACCAGCTTGGTCAATGTGCTTGGCAAGCGCACAACTACCACACTAAAGCCAACAACCCCCTCCACAACAGCAGTCACCTTAACGACCACTGGAGCGACGACACTTACAAGCACCAACTCTACTACAACTGCTATTACTACTACTACTACTGTCATGACTACTAACTCCACCATCAGCTCAGTGAACACAACCCTTGTGTCAAACAGCACAAGTGGCATGAAAAGAAGAAAGCGACATGCTCACTCGAGCAGTGAGGAGGAGATCGGGCAAATTGGCGGAGGAGAGGAAGACAGCAGTGAGGAGGAAAACTTGAAGCCTTCGTCCCTCGGCCTTTACGGGCTCTTCCAGCTGCCTGACAACATTTTCTGTAATTCGGGGCTTCGTCCATCCAGAAATGTTTGCCGCACCTCCTGCAACTGTGAGTTCTTGCACCCACAGCGGGTTAATTTATTATGTTTTGCTTTTTTGTTTTTTTATTTTGCATATTAAAAATTGTTTCTTTTTTCCTCGCAGCCTTCACTGACAATAACATAACTGACGATATTGCTTGTTTCATTAACACTGGTTACTGGAGGTAAGTTTCTGGACAGCATAATACATATAGGTCAAATAAATAATCAAACCTTTGAATAAATGATGTGATGAATAAGTGATGAATTATTTGACTAATTTATTTGCAGTATATATACTGTACAACAATTGACAAATTAAAGAAAAATCCGATATAAACTGATTTAGCAAGCTGTGACATTAATACAGCTTCAGTACTCCCTTGCATGTCTCTGGAACTTTAATGTAAGGACTGAACACCATTGTTAAGAAATCACTGTCTGAGATGCTGGTTAGGATTTCTGAAGGGGATCCACCTCATATATGGATGCAATAATCAAACATTACAAATGTGTACAGCTTAGCTCACTCAGTAAAGCATGTGATCAATATGCCATAAGGTTAATGCTGAGGCCTGGGTTTGAATCTGTCCCCAAAATCAGTCATTGCATATCTTCCAACAACTGTCAAAAAAGTGCATTCTTTATATTAAAAAGAAGCAGATACACAAAACGCTTAAGTGAAGGCACTGAATATAACACAAATATGTTAATGTAAAGAGAAATACAACATATGGTGTTGCCTAATAATTACCTTTTGTTTTAATCCAACAGGAACATTGTGAGGAGAGCCTCTCACTCATGTCGTCACAACATGAATTTCTTAAGAGAATGTAAATAAGTGGATGTGGAATCACAGTTTTTCCCTGCAGAATCACAAAAAATTCTTCACAGTTTCCATCTCCAGTGATCTGTGATTAAGGAACCGCATGCTCCATTATCTACTTTACCTTATGAAGCACTATTTTCTTTCTTTGGTGGAGGAATCTTTCAATAAACATTACTTTGCAGCATATATACAGTGGTGTGAAACGTGTTTGCTTCCTTCCTATTTTCTGTTTTTTGTATGTTTGTCACACTTAAATGTTTCAGATCATCAAACAAATTTTACTATTAGACAAACTAAACACAAAATTAATGTTTTTTAATGAAGATGTTTATTATTAAGGGAAAAAAAATCCAAACCTAAATGGCCTTCTGTGAAAAAGTGATTGCCCCCTAAACCTAATAATTGGTTGGGCCACCCTTAGGAGCAACAATTACAATCAACCAATCAAGTTTAAGAGGTTAATATTGTTTTTCTGAAGTCACGCAGAGGTCGACTTGCTGGTGTGTTTTGGATCATTGTAGTGCTACAGAACCCAAATGTGCTTCAGCTTGAAGTCACAAACAGATAGTCAGACATTCTCCATCAGATATTTTTTGGCAGACAGCAGAATTCATGGTTCCATTTGCTACAGCAAGTATTCTAGGTCTCTGACATAGAGGCCAGGGAAGCAGAAGAACATCATATCAAAAAGTGCTAATCCCTGCTGGACATTTTTCAAAGCTGGGAGGGTGCTTATAGAATGCTACAGGTGATCCAGGAAAGAAGGACAACCAATAAGACTGAATAAGCAAAAACTCTGGTGATTCTTTATGTGTCAAGATTATTGGAGCAGCTGAGCTGTGTTACTTTCACTACCTAATATCTATGGGGCTTTGAAACCCCAAAACACATTACTCTAAAAATTGGTCCAACTAAGAATCTGGTCCCTTGGCACAAGCAGAGCAATACAGAGTACACTATGCTGCAAAAATTGTGGGGGAAACAAAGAAATGTCACTGTATACAGTCAGTTCTAGTGACAAGTATATCTAATGTTGACACTCACAGCAGCTTTTGTGTTATTTCCTCATTTTGCATCAGTTTTTAGCCTCACATTTGACTGACTTCTCTTTTTTTTGGAACTCATGAATATGCCAATTTATATATGAATATGTTAATATATCAGTTTTATTCAAAGACAGCAAGATGGTGTAATTATTTTATGTATAGTTGGGTTTCTTTTGTTTGTTAGTTTTAGTGTGTAAGAATATTCAACACTGTTATCAATACATTTGTCACAAAATGTCTCTCTGTGAAAAATGGGTTTAAAAACATAAACAACTGTGGGATACTGTTTGCTTTTGTGTGCGAGCCCTGTCAAACACCTGTCCATTATGCTAGCAGTGTACAAGCGTTCATTTGTTGTTTTTATTCATGCCCTATACCTCAAATATGAGGTCTCATATTTTCAAATATGAAGTCTCTCAAATTGAAGAAACTATTAGCTTAAGCAACAGAGTGATAATATCTGAAAAAAAAGATCAGTTAATGTCCCATGTGGCCATAAAATGTTGAAGCTGCAATTTCATAATTTTTAAAGAAAGTCCACATCCTCTGTTAGCCCCTACAAATGTAGTCTCAGCAGAAAGCCCATGATGTCCCTTTGACAGTACAGCAGCAGTCACATAGATTGCATAAACGGTGCTCAGTATGGAGGCCTCAGGCTCATGTCCCGACAAAGAACAAAAATTAATTGCTGGATCTTCCCGTTTGAATCTCCATTATGAGACTACATCCACAGATAAAGACAAAACCTTGACTGATGAAGCGTAGCGAGGAAAATATGTACCTAACCAAAGTCTACTTGCACATGAATTGACAACCCGATTAACGCTTTCATGAGAAAGTTGCAGTTTCGTTCAGCTTCATCCTTATTCAGATGCTAAAAGTGAAGATCTTGGTTAGGATCAATCTTCATTTGTAAATAAACGTTCTCAGTGATGATACGGATACAGATCCTCTCTCAGTGACGATCACCTGTCCATCAACCTTTTCATTTCCACCTCAGATACTGAACTTGACTTTAAAGCCCCAAAAAGATGACACAAGAAAACAGAGCTGAAAAACTGAAGATGAAGTAATCAATATACAAGCAAACTACTAGGCTGCAAGCATAAAAAGAAAATGGATGAAGTGCTATTGCAGCTGTTTCAGACTGAAACAGTCCTGCCATGGTCATCTTGCATCACAGCATCAGTCTGTAGTTATCACTGCAGGTGATGATCCTACAGCCTCCTCCTGACGAAAGCTTAGGGGCAAAAAGAATAAAAATTAATATTATATTATGATAGCTAAATCAAATTATTATAGCTTGACACTCTCCAGAGTGAATCAAAAGTTGTAACTTCTCCATCTGTGGCTGTAGTTCAGGAGGTAGCATAGGTCATCTAGTAATCGGAAGTTTGTGGTTGCAGACTGGCTGCTCCAGGCTGCATGTAGACTTGGGCAAGATACTAACCCTGAGGTGCTCTCCGATACATTCATCAGGATGTGAATATAAGATAGAAAGCACTTGCAAAAAAAGTTTATAAAAATCTCTTTGTATGAATGGGTGAATGAGGCCAGCTGTATAAAGCTCTTGGAGTGCTCAGAGTGCAAAAGTGCCGGATAAAAACCAGTCATTTTACCATCTTCTTTGTCTAATCCTCTTGAGTAATGTGGTCTGTGTGTGGATCCTTTTGGAACAGCCACAGTTGCTGCAGGTGTCCTGAATTGATTGGTGGGTTTTCTCTTCTGCTGAGAGCCTTCTGCTGATAACATGTGAGAGAAGAGCAGGTGTGAGAAAACAGAATCCATAAATCATGACAATAGTTTGACTTTTGCTGTGATAATGACATTTAGATGATTACATTGTCTGTCATTAACAGTGGGTGTAGCAGGAACTACACTGGAGACTGTCACACCCGACTGGGTCACTGAAAGCTGTAATGCTCAGAGAGTGTTCTGCTCAGCTCTTTCAACCATTTATTAATATAATCACTGATGTTGTATTTCATAGACACAAACTCAACAGAGGGGTCCAGAGTCGGCCGGGGGCTGGGACCCAGCCTATGGGGAGGCCCTGGAGTGAGTAACAGTCTCTAAACTAGCCAGCTGTTGAGGAAGGATTGCATTTCTAACGTGTTTGTCTCTCTGCAAATAATACGTACTAGAAAAAGAGTCAAAAATGGGAGGCACGGACGCAGCCTCCCGTACAGAGGGAGTCTGTGAAGACGGAGACGCCATGGATAACTGGGCTAGCGGAGATACCGGAGTCCGAGTTGCTTGCAGCTGTGCAGCTAAACGAGGTAAAGACAGCTCAGCAGGAGAATGAACAGGCAGCAAACAGTTCTCCTTGTCGTCTGCTGCACCAAACAAAGCCCCTGGATAAACTGTTCCACAGTCCAAGACAGAAAAAGGGTCCTTCTCACTCACCACGACCGGCAGTTCTGAAGTTCCAATATCCGGCTGTGGGGTGACGCGCCAACGGCGCGATCGTCGCTTCCTCCCGGGCAACACCTCCGGCGGGCCGGGCAACACCTCCGGCGGGCCGGGCAAAACCTCCGGCGGGCCGGGCAACACCTCCGGCGGGCCGGGCAAACACCTCCGGCGGGCCGGGCAAAACCTCCGGCAGGAGAAGCTGACGTGACTGTTCCGGGGCGGCCGTAATCCGCTGCTGCTGGACAAAGTCTGTGGATTCCCGAGCTCGCACCACCCCCCGGGCTTTACGCAGGTTGCAAATTAAGCCTGAAACTCCCTTAAGCTGGCAGAGGTAGGGATTTTCTTCCAGGATTGCTTCGATGGCTTTTAACCCCACCACTTGTGCCCTTGCGTTGGTGGTGTGGGTTACCCAGTCCATCAGGCGTCGGATGCGTGCGAGGTCGCTCTCTCCAGACAAAGCTGCTGGGTCCATGTTTGGTTGGCTCGTACAGTGTTGAAGTTCACCTTTATCACAGACACAGCATCATCTCCATCATCACCATCATCACCATACATATGATGTAATGACCACTTACTCGCTCAGTGCATGTTATTTGATTCACATTAATAGAGAGGAATAAACGCTTTTATGAGTTGTATCATCCTCTCATCATCTCATACATCGTTTCAATCATTTTCAGGCTCTAAACATATAAACTAACAGTGGGAGAAGTCACCACAGTCATTAAAACAAATAAAACAGCTGTAAACAGCATTAATGCTACTTGGTTAACACAGCACACTGACCAACATTGTACATGATGAGTTACAACCAGTAAAATTAATAACTGACAGTGTAAGAAGAGCAAATCTCAGACGAGAGCAGCCGACGTGTTTCCAGATGATCTACGGATCACTTCAGTACGAGTCGTTTATTAACACAATTAAACAGCATGAAGGGCATTTGGTTAATGAAACACAATGACCAACGGACTTCATAAATATTTTGAAGGTATAAAATTAATATCTGACTGTGTAGGACTCCAAGTCCTCCGCAGGTGTTAGCTGAAGGTATGTTACTGTGAAACAATAAATTCACAAAGTCACAGAATAGAAACACAACAGCTGCAAAGTGTGCTGAGTGTGAGTCTAAAATAATATTTTTTTAAGTGTTTTTACTGTTATTAAAATTTTGAAAAACCAAAGGACAATGAATGAGTCAGTACTCAGAGAGGAAAACACTGCCTCCTAGCGTCAATTTGTGTTATTACACCAAATCCATGATGGACAGTGTAAAATGTAGTTGGAGTGATAAATGATTTAAATTTTGGTCAACATTAATAGATATATAAGAGAACTATTTGCTGAAATAGTTTGTTTTAACGTTTCTCTTATTTAAAGAAGAAGTCATCACTTTGGTCACTTCAATCGTTTAGTCAATTTTTGCAAAAAACAAACAAACCCAAACCCAAATACAAGTTATTAATGTGGAGTGATTGCAAATGTTTACAGCAGCTTCTATGTTGCAGAGATCGTGGAAAGGAAAAAAGGTGACAGTCACTTCTGGTCATGTTCACACTCACTGTGTCTTTTGTGTTAGTTCCTCATTTTACATCTTTTTTGAACACTTCTTTAAAAACCTCACATCCAAAGAACTGACTGCTCGACAAACATCATGAAATAATGTAAGTTATCACATTTTCACTATGATACGAATATCAAGGTTTTAGGAAAATATGA